CACGTGCTCATAGCTATGTATACCAGGTTGGATGAAATGTTACCTTCATTGCATGTGTGCTGTTTTATTCATAAAATTTTATTTTAACTGTTTTTGTTGATTTTATCTTATAAATTATGGTACCTCTAAATAATTTCATCTTATTTTATTATGGTTGTAATTAAGTTAGTAAAAACAATATTATTACATCATTTTATTTTACAAGATACAATGACTTAATCATTTTTACAAAATTATTTTGCTTTTTATTTTAATAACACTTTTTTTACGTTCTTTCCTCTTCAAAGAAGACTTTCCATCTTCTGGACTGAGGCCTCTTCTTGGTGTTCTGGTGGGAACGGTGGCTTCTTTGGTGTTGATGGCAATAATAATCGTTATTATCATTCGTATGAGAGGAATGGAGGCTCAACCTAATGGAAAAGGAGGTTTTTACTATTTAGTCTATACATAAACGCTTTAATGATAATAACAGTAGTGGTAATTCGTAAAGATGAGATTTCAAAAAGATATCTCCTGAAATAAATCAATTTTGTTTCTTATTCTTTTGTTACAAATATTATATGAAAATAGCTACAAAAATTCAAGTAATCAGGTTTAGATACAGCTTGTACTCTATATGATGTTGGGCGATAATCTGGTTATTTTAGAACTAGAGTAAAATGTAAATATTTATGAATTAAGCAACTGACAAGCATACAATACTGAGCCATCAACTAGAATCTGAATTCTGGTTCCATATTAGATCAATATAATTATTTGTGTATTACTAAAACAAGTGTAAAACATTTGGTTTTTATTCTTGTCTTTGTCAAATGTTTGATATTTGTCCTCTTGTGGGCCAGTGGTAGGTTTAAGGACTTACAACACTAAAACCTAGAACTCTATTCCTCGCAGTGGATGATGGAACGTAGTTAGCCCCTAGTACATAGTTACGACTTTAATAAAACGACCTCGAACTGATAAGTGTATTACATCTGTAAAATGGGATATCATAGATAAAGAGGTCTCATTTAGGCTTGGTTGCAGATGTCTAAATTAAAGTCTCTTTTATCCTCAACGTTCTTTCATTATCTGCAGAACAAAGAATGTTCAAGTCTATATCTCAAGGTGTCCTATTACATATGTTGTTAAAGTGTGTGGAAATACTGGGATAACCTTCTTCGTTCGATTTGAGATTTTCTTTGATTTGAACTACTAAACCTGTTGTAAACAGGTTTATAATAGTTCCACGGTACCTTACTTTGCAGTTCGAATCAAAGAACATCTCGAACCGAACGAAGTAAATCATTCCAGTAAATATTTTATTCCATTTTTCATTTGTTGGTTCTTTTGATCCATAACATCTGTTAAACACTTTCAATGTTCCAGTCATTATTATTGTAATAATTTCACGTTCATAAATTATATTAATATTAACTTCTAATCAAAGGAAGCTACCTACCTGGTCGTAAATCTAATAACATCTCATGAGGTTTGGCCAGCCCAGGAGACTTAGTTTATTTTAAACCAATATAATAAACAAACAAGGAAAATAATCAGTATAATAAAATAACGAGGATAAAATCAAATAAGAAATATTAAAAATATAGTAGATATATTAAACATTCTAATCAACAATGTGTGTGTCTGCATTAATCATAAAAGTTTCACTTGTATAGGCCAATTCCCAAATATGAACAACACTGGTTTCAGGTTAGCTCTAAATCTACAAACGAAGCTATCAATGTGAAATAATGTTTATAGTAACAATCTATATAAATATAATAGTACTGTCTGGATGGATGGATGGATTTTCAGTTCTGCGGTTTTTAATGGGAGTTTTTGCGTTTCTTACCACTACCTTACCTCCTGTGGATGGATCTTCGTCAAATTTTGTATGGATGTTCATTGGATCCATGGAGAAATACATGCAAAGTTGCGTTTTTACATTTTCTGTTTTGCAGTTCCTATAGGCGTTTTGCGTTTTTTACAATAACATATAAGGGAAGGGACTTTTCATGTCCTAAGATACCCTTTCATTACTCATTAATTTACATAACTTCCGTCCAGGGAACGGGTACTCCAGCTATTAAAAATAAAAATAAATTGTTTGTTTCTTTACTTGTTTTTAGCACAAAGCCACACAATGGGCTATCCGAGCTCTATTCACCAAGGGGAATCTAGCCTTAGATTTTAGCATTGTAATTCCGTGAACAAGGGGACTGATGATAATAATTACGATTAAAATTAATTATAATAAATATAGTAACCAACACTGTCAATGAAAGAAACCTTAAAGAAAAAAACAGCGTGTAACTAAGTTACTATTGTTGATGAAAAATAAATAATATTAGGTCGTCAAGAAATTAATGTCGCATTTTGGAACACTTTCATTAATCAACCCCAAAAAACGTACATCACGTATAATAGTTAAACTAACCGTCTAAACGTCATGTTAGTGTAACCTATATAATGTGAAAAGTTTAGTATACTCTAATCTCTTATAGTGATGGCACACGACTAGACGTACATTCGGCATGTAATACTGTTTGAATACAAGAAGGGAAACAACGCCTCTGTAGCCACAAAGAATATCAAAGAAGTTTATTGAATTGTTTTGAACGTTTGTAAATGTCAACGATGGTTCAGCAAATTTCGTTCAGGTGACTTAAGCT